TGTAGCTGAAAATAGATGAAATAAAGCTCAGAGATATTTGTTCATGAACCCATCACTCTTTGCTTCTGGGACACATAACTAGACTGTACTTCCCAGCAGCCTTTGCAGTTAAGAAAGGCTCCAGGGAGTTCTGAACAATGGTCTAAGTGTGGAAATGGCACGTGCACCTCTAGGGGTAGTCCATAAAGGCACTATTGTCAGTGTGTGAGAAGGACCTAGAAGATGGTATAACCACCATGTAGCTGATGCTTAACTGAGAAGGGTTCCTAGTGGCACACAGGGTCATGTTGTGGGCTGCTCCCCAGAAGGTCTGAATCCACCAGCAGCTCAAGGAAGAGAGCTAAAGGCAGCCTGATTCTGTTAAGACTTAGAGCCTCAGAAAGTGAGCCGAGGGCCCACCGGGAATCGGCGTCAACTTGGGGGAATTAGGCTGAGTTTGGTTTAGGTTGGAGTAAAGAGAATCCCCAGAGAGCTATGAAGAGGGATTTATATGCCAGAGTTGGAAACTTGGGCTCAGTCCCTGAAATGTTGCATTTCTAACAAAACAAAACCAGCAGATAGCTTACTCATACTCAACACAAGGTTTTGAAGAAGTATTTAACATGGCATGTAGTTGATGTTGTGATGGTGGTGTCCCGTAGAGTTGGAACTGCCCCATAGCTGACCACAGTGGGTTTTGAGAGGCAGTTAATTGCATGGGAGGAGACTGCCCATCCTTCTCCTGCGAGCTGGTGGCCTCAAACCACATGCCTTTGGGATTGCAAATAACTCCAAAGCAAAGATAAGAGTAGAGAAACTCCAGCATGGGAAACACAACAACGAGAAGAATGAAAATGGTGACTCCTTGTGTAAAATGTAACTTACATCAATAACCAATTTGTATAGACAGTCAAATGGGACAATTAGGTTGACCATTTTTTCTTAAGTTCATTTTATAAAGCAGTGGTTATTGGTAAAATAAACACCCAGTTGGTACTGAAACACAAGGCTTTCTTATGGAATGTCTTCTTGGACACACTCCTCCACCTCTAAGTTGATACATCCCACCAGGCCCAGTTTGTATGCACTCATCTCTGTAGTACACCCGTCTTCATTTGTACACTAGGTTTTATCTGTTCAAGCAAACCTTCATCAGTCTTAAATGCCACTGAACAGTGAACGATTGCATAATGACTGTAGCCCTGTGATTAGCTGGATTCTCTATGATCAGGAACACCATCAAGAGTCTTCTGAAAATATCTGGAACTTTCTGAAGATGTGTAGAATCTGTGAAAAAAAAGGCCTTCGTATCTTCCCAAACCAGATGGCAATGGCACAGATATTGGAACACACATTCTTTCTCTGTTCCTCCTCTATTTTGCAAACATGGTACATTAGAACAACATCAAATAATGCCAGGTTTCAAATAGATTGAAAGGCAGTTTACTGAACAAAACTCTACCAAATCTGGGAAATATCTAAGCATTGAACTCCCTAAGAAAAAGTTATGCTCTAAGTACATTATTCGCAAATCCAAAACCCACTGCTGGTGAGTCTGAATCATGGTCTCTTCCACTGGGATTCCCACTGTCTGACCCTCCACCTTTCCAAGCATGGCGTCCAAGCACCCTCTAACTACATCCCGTCCTCACCCCCAAGGAGCACAGGGGTTGCACTTTCTTCAGGACATATATGTACGCTTTCTTGGCAGTCCATGGGACATTCAGTACTCTTCTCCAGCATTACAACTCAAGGACATCGATTCTTCTGTGATCCTTATTCACTGTCTAACTTTTCAGATGCACAGCAAATAACTGACTATGGTTTGAATCAGGTGTACCTTAGTCTTTAAACTACCATCATTGCTCGTTAGAACTATGGAGTGGTCCCTGACAGCTGATTTCCCCAATGCAAATATGCCTTTTGATCTCCTGACTAGTTGTACCAGGGGTGTTGATGGTAGATCCAAGCAGGAGGAAATTTTTGATAACTTCAATCCTTTCTCTATCAATCATGGTGCTCTTCAAATTACCGATGAGTAATGATGTTAAGTATGAGAACGAGGATTAAAATAAGGAGCTCTGATTAAGGGACGGTCTTTTTAGTCATTTACTATGCATATGAGAGTTAGAAAAAGACTAAAGATGACAGAAGAACTGATGTCTTTGAACAGTGGTGTTAAGGAAGAGTGCTGAATATCTCAAGCACTGCCAAGAGAGCAAACATGTCTTGGAGAAGGTGCAACCAGAGTTTTCCTTGGAAGCAAAGCTGATGGAGCTTCCTGTCACATAGTCTGGGAATGCTGCTAAGACAGAGACCTCATGCTTGAAGAGGGAGAAGGACAGTGACGGAGAGGAAGACCCTCAACCAGGTGGGGTGACATAGTGGCTGCTGCAATGGGCTCGAGTGTGTCAGAGACTGGGATGATGGCACATTCAGAAAAGGACAGGGATCAACTGTGTTCTTCACAGAATCACCACGCGTGATACTGCACTCAATGGCACCTAACAACAGCAGCAGCAGCATAATGACGCTGCCTACTGGCCCAGCAGCGAGGATCTTTGTTTTCTTGATAGATTATAAACAGTTTCAAATTTCATCTTGAGTTTATTTATAGAAAGAAAAAAAAAACAATTGGACTTTCTAATACTCTTGTTCAAAAAGCAACCTATTCTACGTAACAGCAATATATACAGATATTAAATGAAAAACTGCTAAACCTATGCTTGACAAATGACTCAAAGTTTGGACTGGAAAGTATATCCTAAAGTCATCGTAAGTGATCAACTCCTATTTCAGGTAAGAGCATTGAACTACACATTTAATTAAGTGACTCTAAGAATATGAAAAGAAAAGCACTTTGCATTTTGGATTGCTGTTGTATATATATCAGCTTCCTTAATAATTTAAGCCTTGCATCAGATGTTCTCAGAGTACTTTACACTTGCTCATTTGTTAGGACCTGAACCAACTTTAGTTTGGACTGTCTGAACCTAAATCCCATGAAAGCAACAGACCCAAATATCTGACTTAACTGTTCTTTCTCCACAGAGAGTCTAAATCTGAGCATGTAGGTGGATATTGGCGCCCTTTTGGAGACTACTCTTCTTGACTGCTGAAAGCATAAAAAAAAAAAAAAATCCTGCATAGAACTATCCGCTTCATTATTGCAAAGAAAGCTAGGAAAACAAACAGATTTGTCCTGGAAAGGGTTAAACCGGGTGGCTCCTTGGAGGCAAGGATTCTGAGGCTCCGTCTAACATACTTTGGACATGTTGTGAGGAGAGACCGGTACTTGGAGAGGGACATCATGCTTGGGAGGGTGGAGGGACGGCGCAGGAGAGGAAGGCCCTCTGTGAGGTGGATTGATTCAGTGACTAGGATAATTGGGATGGGAGTGTCAGAGACAGTGCAATTGGCACAGGACAGAGCGGAGTTTAGGGCTGTTGTACATAGGGTCGCTATGAGTCGCAGGCGACTCGACGGCACATAACAACAACAACAACAACAGCAACTAAATGAAAAGCAGACCTTCAAACTCTGATGGGTGAGCTTGTGATGTCTCTGTCAACCACCAAGTAAGCAGTAAATCAGACTGGAAGGGTTTTGAAGCTAAGCTGCTTGGCTTTCAGACCATTCTGTAAATAAAGACTTTGGGATCACGCTGTCTGATACAGCACCCCATTAGACAGAGGCTGAAGACAGAACGGGACTGTACCACTCTTCTCAAGTGCATAGCCGTGTCCATCAGGACAGCACAGGATAAGACAGAACTTCATTCTGTTCTAGGTAGGGTCACAGCAAGGTAAAAGGAAGGGATGTCCACTGAAGTCAGGGCTCATGGAGTTTTATCTGCAAGGCAGTTCTAGATCAGGCCCCAAAGAGTTTCCAAAGGAAGAGAGAAAAAGAAAAAAGACAGGATCACAGAGGTATCAGCAAGCTCAACTGAACAACAACTTCTGGATCAGAACGGGCTTTTTTGCCTTACAGACTGACATTTAAATGGCAGGACTATCACCAGAACCTAAATGGAATTTTATCTGCTTAAGAACAAGGTAACAGCTTGTAGTGAAGAGTCCAGAAAAAAATGACCATAGCTCTTCATCCACACGCCATAATAATATACGTGCTTGAAGAATTCAAACAGAAAAGGAAATGAAACCCACACAGATATTGCTTAACAGGCCAAGAGTTAACCTAGTGTTACTAGGATTGAACTAAGGAGCTCTGAGGTAGCACAGGCTGTAGGGAGTGATGCTGTCAACCCAAAAGTGGTGCAATTATCTCTGCTGGTTCAAATCCACCAGCAGTTTCTCTGGAGATAAACGATCAATCTCCAATATGATGTGTAGCGGAGGAATCCCAATGGCAGGTGGGTTAAGAGTCCGTTCCAACTTGACAGCAGTGAATTCAGTTGAGCAAATGAAAACGAAAAGATAAATGTAATGCAATTTAGTTAAAAGCATCTAAAGTAATATTACTAAAAAATATACTCTTGTGTTTTTAAAACTTTGTATCTTTCGAAACTCTCTTTATAAATGCATCTATTCAATAAACTAATGTTTCATGTGCCATTTCAGTAGCGATAAGCATTTAAAATATCTGACAATTTCTCTCCATAAACTTTTCACTAAAACCCCCCAATGTATAAACATCATTAAAAATAGCTCTACTTCCTTAACACTGCAAAGCATGGAACTGAAAGACGCAGTGACAACCACCTATTTATTATAAAACAGAAGTCTGAAATGTTAAGTAGGTGTTAACGGCTTGCCAGAAATGACAATTCAGGGGCCCAAAGGGTCCTGGTCACTGTTTTGACAACTTGTGTATTGCTCTGAAAGTCTAAAAAAAAAAATCATTAAAAAAAAACCAACCACGCCACACTGCAGGAGGGCTAGAAAAGAAGCAAAATCCCACACTCAGAAGTTTACTGAAAATCCGTGTGCATCCGCCAGCAGTCTGAGTCTACGTTCCTAGCTTAAAGGAAGGTGACCATCCCTGCATTCGTGAGAATGGGCCTACACAGTAGTCTCGTGTTTCCATAAGCCCGTCCGAACGTTGCCAGTGCTGTCTGGGCCGGGCACGGGCCCATCCTGCCCGCCGCTCTTCATTGGGCCGTTCTGAACGGCCAAGTTGAGGCCGTAAGACTTCTGCTGCCCCTCAAGTTCAACGGTGATGGGCTTCCTCAATGCATCTTTTTTACTACCGGCTGGCATGGGCTTTTCGAAATTCCGGCTGCTCTTGGGAAGCGTGCTGCCCGCATCACTGCTGTCCTGCTGGGGTGGGTTATACTGCCTCTCCCTGAAGGCCAAGTACGCCCTCCGGCTCCTCGAGTGGCCTTCGCCGCTGCCCGGCCGGCCCTTGGGCAAGCCGTTCTGCACGCTGCCCTCCACGCTGGTGGGCACGTCGTAGGCATACTCTCTCAGCACCGTCAGTCGGCTGGCCCTGTGGCCCTTGCTTCTGTTTTTGTGGTGGCGCCCGGGGTGCACGTTGGCTCGAAAGGGGACTTCGAGGGGCGCCACATGCATCTTGATATCGTTGTCCATCGAGTGCTCGGTCAGGCTGTTGTCCAGCTGAGGGCCTGAGTTCAAGGGCAGCGAGCTGGCATGGCACTGGGCGGCAGCCGCCTGCAGATTGGTCAGTTTGCAGCCCTGGGAGGAGTTTTTGAAGCTGGACGCACTCTTGTTGGTGCAGGAGGACTCTGCACTGCTGTTGGTGCACTTGGGGGGCTCGCCGTTGGGCCCGCTGGTGCTGGGCGGCTGGGCGTTGACCTGCACGGAATAGGAGCTCCTCCCTGGGCAGCAGGTCATGATCCAGGCCAGGCGCACGTCCTCCCGGCTCACGCAGTGATGGACCATGATGAAGGCGCTGAAGCTCAAGCAGGTGGCGCCGAAGAAGAAGCTGAACACCAAGTCCAGAGGGTAATACAGGGACACAGCCAAGGCCCCGAACAGCCACAGAGCCACGTACAGCAGCAAGGTGAGGCTGGCCCCCAGCAGCTGGGACTGAAACGTGTGCTCGTTCTCCAGGGCTGACGTCGAGATGAGCGACAGGGACATGGAATCCTGGTGGGGGACCTCGCCGTTTTCATTGGCCGCCAGTCTCTGCTGCTCCTCGGCCGGCTCTTTGAGTTCGTACCTGCGCTCGGGGTGTCGCTTCAGCTGAATAAATATGCTCAGGAAGTACATGCAGTTCACAAAAGTGATGAAGCTGGCAGGTCCGTAGAAAGCACCCAGCGACGGTTCCCAGGCCATCCAGCAGCTAGAAGAGAAAGTGAGGAAACCAACAGCTCAGTGGCTACAAGCCTCAAAGCAATCATCCCACCCTGCAAAATCCCACTGCTGTCCAGTCGGAACCGACCCACAGCCGACCCGCCAGGAAGTTTAAATCTCACAGGCAGAGACTGAGTATCTCTCGCTTTCAGAGCATCTGGTGAACTTAAACTGGCCGCAGAACTCCTGAATCACTAGACCCCCTAGGTCCCCAGACACTAGTTAAGAGGCCAGATTGAACTCAACTTTGGTAGAAAGGTGGCTCCTTAGAAGAAAGGATGATGAGACTTTATGTTTTGTACTATGGGCATGTTTTCAAGGGGGTCCATCCCTGGAGAAGGGTATTATGCTTGGAAAAGTCAAGGGTCAGTGTAAAAGGATAAAGCCCCTCGATACGATGGGCCCACAGTGGCTGTAGCAATGGGCGGTGAGCACAGCTGACTGTGATGAGGGAACAGATCAGGCTGGGCGTCATTCTGCGGCACAGTCTCTATGAGATGGAGTCAACACGACGGTAACCTAGCAACAGGAAGCCTTGTGGTCCCTTCTTAGTGACTGCGTGTGACAGAGAGCTGGCCCACTGGGTTCCAGGCTGACATCTTCACAGGACTGGGACACCATCAGATCTTTAGTCCAATCTTTCAAATAGCAGCCAAGTACTCAAGCACTGTGCCACCAGGGCTCCTTGCAATAAGCCTTATTTGTCCTGCCATCTGGTCGATTCTGATTTACGGAGATCCTCCAGGGAGGGGTGGATTTGCTCCCCTGTGGATTCCCAGGGCCGTTATATTTAATGAGGACTACCAGCCAAGACAACAGAGCTTCATCTCACATACTGTGGACATGTTGCTAAGAGAGGCTACTGCTTGGAAAGGGACCTCACGCTTGGAAAGATGGAGGGTCAGCAAGAAAGGAAGACCCTCAACCACAGAGACTGACACAGTGACTCCAGCAATGGGCTCACGTGTGTCAGAGATGAGGAGGACGGTACAGGATAAGATGGCTATGAATCGTATTCGACTCGATGGCATCTAACAATATTATCACTGAGCTCTGGGAGCCTAGTGCTAAGAAGCTGCACTGCCAACCCAAAGGCAAATGGTTCTAATCCACCACTTGCTCTGTGGAAGAAAGATGGGCAATTTCTGACCATGAGATTTAGTTACTCTGAAAGCCCACTGGAGGGTCAGCCAAGAGTTGGCTATGGTCAATGGCACATAACAAGGAGCATCGTGGGACGTACTGAACAGACAAGCATAAGGCCATTCCATCGGAGAGAGCCAGTCTCCTCCACCACGGATTTACAGCGATGGAGGGTCAACAGGAATTGGCTTCGACTCGACGGCACCATTTTCTTTGAGTTTAATCTTTACTAAAGCAAACTGTCAGCTCTTTCTCCCACAGGCCGGCTAGTAGGTTTCAATCACTCATCTTTCAGTTAATAGCTCAGCACAAAACACTGCAAAAAAATAGGAGTCATTGTAATAAACCTCCTTATCCCAACCCGTGAAATAAAACCAATGAATTGTCATTTCAACTCGTAGGAGACCCAACAGCCGAGGGCAGAACTGCTCCACGAGGTTTCCAACGGCCATCAATCTTCATGGAAGTAGACGACCATACCTCTGTCCCACTGCTGGCCTCAAACCACCAACCTTTCCATTAGCAGCCAACTGTCTGAACCGCTAGAGCCCCAGAGCCTGTGGAATGTAAGAGAAGCAGCAGGGTCAGGTACACAGAGAATGTCAAATACTCACTAAGGGGCGTTTGGCCGGCTGCCGTAGTTCTTGATGTTCGCTGCAGCTGTTATGCCACAGACGATGACGGGAATGCCACCACCAATCAGGTAAAACCTAGGACGAGGAGGGACAATGGGGTCACCGTGCCAGTACTGCCAACACGTATCACAGTGTCTCAGTGCTTCAAAAGCGCATCGTTGTTGTTTTTTAATGTCAATGAACATTAACAGAGATTTTGGATTTCCATTCATTCATTGTTGCACTTTTCTCCCCGCCCACCCCACCCCGACCCCCAGTTCTCTCCTCTCCTTGAAAAGCAAAAGAAAAAAAAACTCCTTTATTGGTATACAATCCCCCTGCAACCGCCCCCCACCCCCACCCCGAGTACACTCCACTCTGCAACTCTCACTCCGAATTCTTATGATAATCATAATGCCCTAAAATATATTACTTTTAGACTGTTCTCTCCCTCATCGGCTTCAATGCAGTATACATAATTTATCCAGTTTTCCTCAGTCTTACCCCCACCTTGATGTCAGCCTCATTCTACAACAGTGGCACCATATAGTATTTGTCCTTTTGTGACTGAGATACTTCACTCAGCATAATGTCCTCCAGGGTCACCCATTTTGAATAATAGTGCCATGAGTTCCTTGTTTTTCAATGCAGTATAGTATTCCATTGTGTGAATATACCACAGCTTCTCTATCCATTCGTTTGTTGATAGGCACTTAGGTTATTTCCAACTCCTTGTGATTATGAACAAAGCTGAGATATACATGGGTGTGCATATATCTGCTTGGATGTCAGTTATGGTCTCTTTGGGATATATTCCCAGTAGTGGAATTGCTCGGTTAAATGGTATCTCTATTTGCAACTTTTTGAGAAAGCACCACACCACCCTCCACAGTGGTTGCACCATTTTATACTCCCACCAACAGTGAGTAAGGGTTCCAGTTTCTCCACAACCTCACCAGCATTTGTTGCTTGTTGTTCTGTTAAATTTTGCTAGTCTTACTGGGGTGAGATAATATCTCATAGTTGTCTCGATTTGCATCTCTCTTAGAGATAGGGATTTTGAACATTTCATGTGTTGTTTAAAAAAAAAAAAGCTCTTCCTTTTATTCCAGCGATCAGTTACTGGAGTTAACTTTTGGAGGCTCTTTCCTTTAACAGTAACATCTTTTTGATTTGTGTTTGTTTTGGATTTCCTTTCATAAAGTGCAAGCAGTCTATTTGTTTTAAAGCTGAAGAAAGCTGATCAGCTTCTGCCACCTTGTGGTCATGCCAGAGAATGCACAGCTACATTTTTAGGCTCACAACGTGGTTTCTTTTACATTAAGCTTGCTGCTGTTACGTGCTGTTGACTAGGGCTCACAGGGACCCTATGGACAATGCCTCTGAACCTTGCTTTATCCTGAGCCAGCCTCACCGTCTCTGACACACCTGACCCCCTGGCCACAGTCATCCTGTCAATCCAGTCTCACTGAGGTCTTCCTCTCTGGCGCTGCTCTTCACCCTTCTGAGCACGACGGCCTTCTCCAAGGAGCGGCCCCTTCTGACTACATGACCAAAGTAGGTGAGACACAGTTTCCCCAACTTTGCGTCCAAAGAGCATCGTGGTTTCATGTTCTCCAGGACAGACCTGTTCTCTTGGCAGCTGGTTCACACAGTGGGATGACTCCTCAAAACTAGTCTTAACCCCAATCCCTGTGGTGTCCTTTGTCGTTAGTCAAATTAAGATTATGTCACAGTGGATTCTAAATCCAAAATCACCACCTCAGAGCCGATTGGATTCATGGCAATACTCCACTGGCTTTCTGTGCTGTACATTTCTACAGGAGGTCGTCGAACAGATTTGAACCAATGACCTTGTGAGCAGCAGTCTCATGAAAAAACTACTACCATCCAGTTGATCTGTGACCTCCTACGCTCTGTATGAGCTCTGGGGGGTGTAGACTGCAGGGAGATGCACTGCTAATCCAAAGGCTAACACCTTCTGGGGTTCCAAATCCTCTAGCTGTTCCATAAAAGTAAATGGGTAATCTCCTCATGTGTGATTCACAGCCTTGGAAGCCCAAAGAGGGTCAGCTAGCTCGATGAGTCATTTAGACCCAACAGCAGTGAGTAAGTGAGCGAGACAGTCTCACTTCAGAAACTGTAAATGGCACAGAAGGAGACGGCCTTCCTTTCTCTCCCAGAACAGATGGTGGATTCAAACCACCTCTCTTTGGGTTGGCAGTGCTACTCCTTACGAAGCCACCAGAGGTCCCTAACTAGGTATCAGCACCTAATTAAGCCTCTGGGTAGCTCTGCTGCCGTAATCTGAAGACAGCTGTTCAAATCTACCAGCAGCTCCACAGGACACAAGATGGGCAATCTCGCCGACTGTGATTTACAGCCTCTGAAAAGCTGATGGAGGGTCCGTTCTGACTCAACAGCGACGAGAAAGAGAAAAAAGTTTCTGTTATCAAGTTGTTCGCAACTTCTACTGCCCATCCGTTAGGTTGCCAGAGCTATGGCTGTTCACTTGAGGAGACTGCCCACCTTTCTCTCAAATGCCACTAGTGAAGTTGAACTGTTGACCTTTTTGGTCAGTAGCTCAACACACTGCACTCTATGCCACCATGAGATAGACTGACACAGTGACAGCAACAATGGGCTTAAGGGCAGCAGAGACGTTACAAAGGTGATGACGATGCAGTGCAGGCAGGGTTAGTTCTGTCCTATATGGAGTTGGCAATACAGCATCTCGGATGGCCTAGTGATAAGACGCTGCACAACAATCCCCGAGGTACATGGTTCAAATCCATCAGACGCTCCTTGGGAGAAGGATGGGCTCTCGTGCTATATATTGCCTCTGAAAACCGGCTGGAGGATCAGTGATGGGTCGAGTCCAACCCAACAGCAAATAAATAAGTCTGCATGTTCCAGAACCTCCGACTGTGTGTTTAAACATCAGTCTCTCAGACCGAGGCAGGAAGATACCCAGACCCAAGCAGCCACACACAAGGCAGCAGCTCTCCCTAACCCCCTTCCCACGGAGAGACGTAGCACAAGGATGGTGCGGAAGATCTAAATGAGGCTGAGCCTCTGCTACAATGAAAACGTGACAGGAATGTCTCTGTCCTTTCCAAAGAGAACAGGGAACGGGGACTGAAGGCCTTGGCTCGCCCATCTGGACACTCAGGATTTTAATTCCTCATTTGCTCTTTTCTGGGATACAACCCCCAATTCTGAACTGAACAAAGGTATTTTCATGATATGGTTTGCATCCACCGCTTCTTATTTATATCAATCACTGATTCTGATATGTGAATATTGATGAAAACACAGCTAAGTTTTCTATGGTCGAATGGGTGAAGAGTGGTGGGATGTTAATCATAAGGTTGTAAAGTTCAATAGGGGGTATGAAGGAAATGGGAAGGATCTCTTGTGAAAAACAATGTATTCAAACTTTGCAAATATATCAGTATAAGATTGAAAACAAACAAAAATAATTTAAAAAGGGGGGTATGTTGCCAATCCAAAGGCAGGTGGTGTGAATGTACCTGCTGCTTTGTGGAAGAAAAGCTGGATAATCTTCTCCCAAGGGATTTACTGCCTCCACAAACCCACTAGAGAGTCAGCTCTGAGTCCATTCCAAGGTGACAGTGATGGGTTTCTTGTGACTCTTCTGTTTCACAGATTGGGCACATGGCCAGTAGGGACTGGTCCTTGGAGAAGGACATCATGCTCAGAGGGGTAGAGGGACAGTGCAGGAAAGACCCTGGATGAGATGGAGTGATTGATACAGTAACTGGGATAATGGGGGTAGGAGTGTCAGAGTCAGTGAGACTGGCCCAGGACAGGGGAGGCTTCAGAGCTATGTACACAGGGTGCTATGAGTCACAGGAGACTTGAAGACACATAACAACAACAACAACAATGCACTCTCTCAAAAAGGTGTGTGGACACCCTAACCTGCATACATGATCTGATTTGGACACAGGGGTATCTTGTGGAAGCTCGGGAGGCCATGCAGAAGTACTGGGGTTTCAGCTCTAATTAAGGGACTTCTGGTGGCTCAGTATTAAGGAATCGTGCTGCTAGTGCAAAGGAGTGCAGCTCAAACCTAGCAGCTGCTCTGTGGAAGAAAGATACACAATCCCTGCCTGTATGACAGTTTACTGCCTCTGAAAACCCACAGAAGGTTAACTGTGAGTTAGTTTCAACTCAATGGTACAAAGCAACAACAGTTCTGATTAAGCTCAATTCTGAAGAGTGATTTCTTCTAAGAAAGGAAAGTAGTTATGGACAGAAAAGCAAACTATGGAAGACCAAGATCTGAGAATGTGGCAGGAGAGCAAAGAGGGATCCTCCCCTCTGGCCACTGGACATCCGGTCTCCCAAACCAGCAGACAGTACATGCTGCGCCTCAGCCACCCCCTTGTGGTAGTTTTAATTACTGCAGCTCGAGGAAATCTGACCAGCACCTGTGCCCTTCTGTTTCCTGTTCCTGGAATTCACAGCTATCTCTGCCCTGAAAAGAAGGCTTCCTTTCCAAACTTAACCTTGTACTCTACAAACCTCCCTGCTAACTGATGGCTTAGTGGTAAGGAGCTGCACTACCAACCCAAAGGCTCACAGTTTGAATCCCCCCCCCCCCCCCCGCTACTCTATTGGAGAAAGATGTGTAATCTCCCGTGTGATTTACTGCTTCTGAAAACCCACTAGAGGGTCAGGTAGGGGTCAGTTCCCACTTGATGGCACACAACTACAACTCCACTAATTATTGTTCCCATCTGGACTTGCTACCCATTAATACTAATTCTGCAGTTCTCAGCTCTTTTTTTTTAACAAAATCAAATTTTATTTTAATTGTGATTTTAATGAACTTTTACAGACACATTCTATTTTCATTCATTCATTGCTGCAGTTTTACCCCCTCTCTCCCTTCCCCTCCCCCAGTTTACTTTTTTTCATATTCATTCATTGAGTTTTCAGCTCTTTCCCACCACTTATTTTCACTCTATAAAAACTCCTGTTTCTCCCATTCTGCAAAGAGCCCTTTTACCTACCACTGCCTCCTTTCTCTCCCATTTCAGTGACAAGTCCCCAGGGACAGGAGGAATAGAAGCAGCAGCATCTTCACCATAATCAGCCCTCTCAGCGGCTAGAAGGAGCTTGCAGACAAGTCCTTGCCCTAGTTTCTACATAGTGGAAGAGTCACGACTTTTAAGTTCAAAGGCACCAAAGGGCTAGTGAGTCAAACCTACCAGCTGTTCTTCAAGAAAGCAATGTGGCAATCTGCTTCTATCAAGACCTGCAGCCAGAAAACCCTTGTTCTCGTCGACCCTACAGAGTCAGACTCTACCGCAAAGACACGGGCTTGGATTTGGTGGGTCATTAGGAGACTACTATAGGTTTCATGTCCAACTTGTCCTTTACTGGACTCTTTCTATCCATTTGGTTTTGTTTGTTTTCTAGAGCTCAACCTGAAGCAGGTAGGTTCAAATCCACTAGAAATGGATCCAAGGAATGGCTGGGAGATTTACTTCCTGAGAATCTGTCACTGAAAATTTTCTGAGTAAGAGTTCCACTCTTATACACTATGAGCCAGAACAGATTGGGTGACAAATGGTTAAGTGTACCGGAAGCAGCAGACAACACTAAGGACCAGATTTCTATGTCACCCTCTCAACACAAATCTCTCACCCTGACCTGAGCCAAACACTCTGGCTGTCCCCATTCTCCTCCCAAACCTCCTTATTTCTCTGACATTCTTTCAGTTCTTCCTGTGACTTTTTCATGGTCTATCTACTAAACAGTGACAAGGCCTGGGGATCATATTTTTTCTTACCTAACTTCGCTAGGAGAAGTCCTGCTCACTCTCAGTGCTTCCATGGACACACACACACACACACACACACACACACGTCTCTTCACCCATCTGCAGTATGTCCAGCTAAGCCCTAGTTGCTGTGTACCATCAAGTCGAAACCAACTCAGAGCTGCCCCTCCAGTGGGCTTCCTTTAAATCGCACAGGAGCAGACTGTTCACCCCACTTCCATGGAGCAGCTGATGGGATCAGAATACCTTACGGTTGACAGCTCCACTTTTTAACCACCATTGTTACTGTTACATACCATCAAGTCAGAACTGACCCCAAACTGACTCTCCAGTGAGTTCTCAGAGGCAATAAATGGCAGAGAAGGAAAATGCACATCCTTCTCCCACAGAGCAGCTGATGGATTCGAACCATGTGCTTTTGGGATTGCAATGCAGCTTCCAAAATTGAGATTGTTCCATGAGAGTGTTGGTAAGCCTGTCTCCCACCTTTATCCTTCATTCCCCAAGCCAGTTACCTGGGCCTGTTATCATTACAGCAAAAACCTCAACAGGTAGAAAGAAGGCTTCAGGACAACAGGTACTTACTGGAGATTTCTGGTGACTGTAAGTCCCAGTGCAGGGAATGAGCTCTGATGGAGTGGCCTTTCTCTGTTGGTAGCCCTCAGCGGTGCTTGCCTTGGAAGCAGCTGACTTTCATGCATGTTTCTCTGTGTTTCTGTCCTCCTTTCTAAAACATCATTCACTTTAAAGTTGGTAGGTTTGGCTTTCAGGTCTCTGAGCTCTGCTTCTACAAAGGGTCAAGTCAGGTCAGAAATGACTGTCCATCCTTCTCCCACAGAGCAGCTCGCGGCCTCAGACCACATGCTTTCGGGATTGCAGTGCAGCCTCTTGCCACCAGGCCACTCACAGAGGCTGTAAATCTCACGGGAGGAGACCACTCATCCCTCTCCCTGCAGTAGTTGGTAGATGTGAATCACTTGCCTTTGGGTTGGCAAAGTAATGCCCTACCCACCAGGCCACCCAAACTTCCAAGAAAGGTTTAGGTTTAGAACCCACCACCTCCTTAATAGAACAAAAGAACTCAAATGCACTCATTGCCTTAGTGTCAGAACCAACTCACAGCTGACCCTCAAGCAAGGGAGAAGATTGCTCCTCTTTTTCCCCTCAGAATCTTTGGGCTAGCAGCTCAGCTCCCATCAGACTACGCCAACAGAAAAATCTGTATTTCCAGATAAGATTTTATTCACAGATATGAGGGTTAGGACACTAATATAACTTTGTGATGTTTTATACCTTTTAGTCAGAACTGACCCATTGCTGATCCTCCAGAGAGTTTTTGAAGGCAGTGAAGCGCATGGGAAGAGACTGCCCATCCTTCTCCCATGGAGCAGATTCGAACTCCATGTCTTTGGGATTGCAGCACAACTTCTTAGCACTAGGCCACCAGAGCTCCCTTTAGGTGAACACAATTCAACCCGTAACTCCCCCATATCTACTTCCCGTGTGTGGATCTCAAACGAAGGCAGCACCATCTGCTGAATAACGATGAAAAATTTACAACCATGTTCAAACTTCTCTTTTTCTCACACTTTATACCATTTGTCAGCCTCAGTCTCTTGAACAAGTATCTACTCTGTTCCCTAAATCATGTGTTGTTTCTGTCTTCATGGGTATTATTTTAGAGATCTAGGGTGAATTCTTTATTCTCAGACATTTCCATTCATGTTACAAGCTGGCACCCGGTCCGACCATTCTGTTATAGATAATAATCTTCAATGGATGCTGACCTTTGGACATCACCCCAACAGGCCCCAAATCTAGTTCTCCACTAAGTCCCTGCCATTCTCTATCACAGAGCCAAAACTCGCAAGGTTTCTCTGGCTCACCGTCATCTTATTGTGAGAGCATCACCTCTACGCTGTACTCTGAACACGCATCAAGCTTCCTGCCAGTACAAAGCATTTTCTAATATCCACATTCCTCCTTCTCAAATGAACGGCTCCTTCTTTTTTGCACCCTCAACACACAGCTCTACAGGAGTTCTTGTAATACTTCTTCATAGTCAGTCCTTCCATGTGTGTCTCTGCCAACAGACTGGAAAACCCTCATGGATCTTGACATCTCTGCTGAGTGTGAAGTTCAGAAAAAAGCAGCTGTCGTTATATTGACCCGGAATCATGGCAACCCCACGTGTATATGTACACCCGTGTGTCCTCGGCTTCTCAATGGCTGACTTTTTAAGAACTAGTTCTTGTTGCTATGTACCATCAAGTTGCAACTAACCATTAGCTGATCCTCCAGCGGGTTTACTGAGGCAATAAATTGGACAGGGAGAGAATGCCCAACACTCTTCACACCAGCAGTCAGGAAATCAAAAGAAGAACTGCACTGGAAAAATCTGCTGACAGGAAGTTCTTCAAAGTACTGAGAAGAAACAATGTCAGTCTAGAGAGTAAGGTGCACCTGATTCAGGCCATGGTCTTTGCAGTTACTTGCTACGCATCAGAGAGCTGGACAATGATTAAGGATGACAGAAGAAGAATCAATGCCTTTGAGTTGTGGTGCTGGAGAAAAGTCTTGAACCATAAAAGTCATGGACCATCAAGAAAACAAGTAATGCTGTCTTGGAGAGGGTGAAACCAAGTTTCTCTTTGGAGGCTAGGATTTTGAAGCTCCATCTCACATATTTTAGGCACTGGCCAGAAGGGACTGGTTCTCAGAGAAGGACATCATGCTTAGAAGGGTGGAGGGACAGCACAGGAGAGGAAGACTTCAGATGAGATGGATAGATACAGTAACAACTAGGGCAATGGGGGTTGGTGTGTCGGAATCAGTGAGACTGACTTAGTGAGACTGTCTCAGGAGAGGGCAGACTTCAGTGCTGATGGACAAGGGGTCACTATGAGTCACAGGAGACTGGAGGGCACACAACACAGACTGCCCATCGTTCTCCCACAAAGCAGCTGGTGGATTCAAATCGTATACCTTTGACAGTACAATTCTCCCACAGCTCCCATTTTTTGGAAGTAGATCTTTCTTTCTCTGAGTGAACTTGAACCTCCTTTCATTCAGCCGCAGAGCACATTAACTGTGTAATCCACTCAGGGGCTCTGCCTGTTACCTAACACACTTTCCATAAACTCAGTGTCTAATCTTTTTTCACTCCCTAAACAAAATAATCTATTTACCAAGGACATAACTCAAAACCTGTTTCATCTGATGTAGAGAATTATTAAATTGCTATACACTTGAGTAGATTAAAATCTAAGACATATGACCTTGGAAAACAAAACAAAACAACTAATATTCTTATAGTGTATATTATTTGGCAACACCATCCATCCCAAGTGCCTTACACATTAATCCACTTATTCCTCACAACAGCCGTATGTGGTCTACCCCTTTATGGAGCGGCTGAGGCCTCCTATCTACAAGGCTGCAGAGTCAGTATTCAAAAGACGGCAGGCTGGTTTCCAAGTTCATCCATTCATTTTCAACAGCTTACTCTGTATTTTCCTGTTACAAATGATGACTGTTTCAACTACAGAAACCTAATTCTCTGATTAACGTCTAGCAGGACACGGTAAACCGAGCTGATGGCGGGTACCTGAGCATCGGTCTTGGAGGCGGCGGCGGTTCGTCAGGATCCTGGCATCTCTTGGCTTTTTTGGTGACTTGTTTATAGATATTTCGAGCTGTCACTCCCACCCAGAGCACCGTGGCAAGAGTGGAATAATGAAGAATTATTCCAACCTAGAGAGAAGAGTCACACATCACAAAGGAGGCAAAATGAGTGCAACAACGAATGAATGGAAATCCCAAATCTCTGTAAATGTTCATTAAAATTCATAAAAGAAATTTTTTTAAAAAACAAGTGTTCTTTGCATAAAAGCATAGTAGCTATATTTTAATAATGAAAGTTTCTTTATAAAATAAAACAAAACAAAAAAAAGACAAGACAATGGCCTGAATAAGGTGTATGCTAGTCTTGAAACTGACATCACTGCTCCTTAGTAATTTGGAGAGGTTCCTGACTGCAGACTTTGCGGGTGTTAAACATCTTTGATCTTCTGACTGCTGTAGCAAATATGTTGATTGTAGATCCATGTAAAATAAAATTGTTGACAATTTCAAACTTAAAAAAAAATAAGTCTGAGATAACATTTTAAATTTAAAAAAATCTATTAATTCTAGAAATTAGTGTGGGATATAAGAATAATATAGGTTGATAATTTAAAAATGAATATTCTAATTAAGATTGAAAGCATTTTGCGAACAATATATATCCATCTAATTCATGTCAGCAATTAAAAACAAAATACAGTGTAATTATAAAGAGTGTTTTTTGTTGTATATATTTCATCAGGTGTAATTTTGATGAAAATAAAATATTTAAAAAGAAAAAGACAACAAAGGAGGAAAAATAGGGAGTAGTGGGGACCTGATATACAGTACTGCCCACTCTTGTTCTTGTCGTGGACCGTTGAGTCGGAACCGGCCCATAGCTGACCCTCTGGTGGGTTTTCAGAGGCAATTAATTGCATGGGAAGAGATTGCCCAGCCTTCTCCTGTGGAGCAGCTGATGGATTCGAACCATATGCTTTCAGGATTACAGCGTAGGTTCTTGCTACTACACCACCAGTGCTCCCTAAAGCTTATCAAAATGACAGGTTATTTAACTTTCAAGTATCTGGCCCTGTATTGTGTTATGGTATATTTTAATGATGAATTCTTTTTTCCTGTCAAGCATGTTTTCTGATAATAAAACGAGTGGCATCCACTTCCTAAACAACTTGCCTCTGGAAACTCTATGAACTTTGATAAATGTTGATAGTTATAGAAAGGCTTCAGGACTTTTGTTCACTGGGTCGCTATGGGCCATGCTCGACTTGAAAGCAATCAACAACCACAACAACCCTCCAACACACCAACCTGTAACTGGACACAGGAGGCCAGAGATTACAACTCATACACACAGATAATTCTTAGTATGGCACTGAATTAGCTCCCAAATAAGGAAAAAATAAAAAATGCCCAAAACGTGTTTTTATAATTAGAAATATCTTTCAATAAATTAAATTTTCTATATATTAATTTTCTAAAGGGTTGTTAGTTAGAATTGAGCACATACAGTCCATTACTAAACAGAAACATAGCTGGGAAGGGAAAGGGAGAGGGCAAAGGTCACGGTCCACAGGAGTGAGTTAGCATTCAATTCAAGGCCCTGTGTTCTAAATAAGGGTTTTATGATTCACAGGAATATAGGATGGTGATTCAGGCAGAGAATTCTAAAGTCTGGAAACTGTTGCCTGGTATAAATCTGGGGTCCATCTCTTACCCTCTGTGCATTAACAAAATTACACAACTTCTAATAACTTCGGTTCCTCATACTAAGAACAGAATAAAACGATGGTGAGAATACCTACCAGGAGAAGCAATTCAATAAAAATACCATGGACTGTCAAGAAAACAAATAGGTCTGTCTTGGAGAGGGTGAAACCAAGTCTCTCCTTGAAGCTCTGCCTCACTTACTTTGGGCATGTGGCCAGGAGAGATCGGTCCTTGGCAAGAAGGACATCATGCTTGGAAAGGTGGACAGACAGTGCAGGAGAGGAAGACCCCGGATGAGATGGATTGATACAATAACTGGGCAATGGGGGTTGGTGTGTCAGAGTCAGTGAGACTGGCTCAGGACAGGGAAGGGCTCAGAGCTGCTGCATAGAGGGTCACTACACATTGCAGGCGACTCAATGGCAAATAACAACAATAACATGCTATGAGAGATTTGGAAGCAGGAGAGGAATCCACTTCCTTAATAACATGCCTTCAGAAACTCTATGAACTTTGATAAATGTCTATAGTTATAGAGGTTTTAGGCCTTTTGTTCATAGGTTCAATATGAGTAATGCTTGACTCAAAGGCAATCAAAACACAACAACATGTTATTATGATAATATGTCAATAAAAACATTACCCAAGAATTGTTGCCTTGGAGTTGTGATGTTGGAAAAAATATTGAATATGTCATGGACTGCTAAAAAGCACAGCCAAAGTGCTCCTTGGAGGCACGGATGGTGAAACTTCGTCTCACATATTTTGAGCGTGTTACAAGGAGAGGCTATTGAAGGATTTCATGCTTGGAAAGCATGGAGCATGAGCAGAAGAGAGAAGACCCTCAACTAGATGCACTGACACCGTGACTGCAGCACTGGCTCCAATGTGTCAGGGATGCTGAGATGGCACAGGACAGGAAAGGGTCCAGAACTGTTGTTGTTCAGAGGACTGCTATGAGCCATACTCAACTCAAGAGCACCCAACAACAACAACAAATGAGAAAATACACTCAATGTTATGATTGCATAGCAGGAGTGTGGACTGGAAGAAATATGGTCAAATCTCTGGCATGAAATTACATATGAAAAGTGGGAGAAGGGATTTAATAGGAATAAACAGATCTAGATAATAATAATGTTGTTGCTGTTGATTTTCTTCAAGTTGAGCACGACTCAGAGCGACCCTATGAAGAAAAGGTCTGAAGCCCCTCTACAACTACTGACAGTTATCAAAGTTCATAGAGCTTCCAGAAGCCTGTTTTTTAGGAATTGGACAGCTCTCCTGCTTCCAAACATGTCATAGTATGATATTGTTGTTATGTGCTATTGAGTTGCCTGAGATGCATAACGACCCTATGTTCAGCAGCTCTGAACCCTTCCCTGTCCAAGATAGACCTACTTGTTTTCTTGGCAGTCCATGGTATGTTCAAGACTCTTCTCCAACAGCACAACTTGAAGGCATCTATTCTTCCGGCATCCTTAGTCACTGTCCAACTGTCTGAGGCATAACAAGTAATTGAGCAAACCATGGCCTGGAATAGGTTCATCTTAGTATCTAGACTGACATCATTGCTCTTCAGCACTTTGGAGAGGTCCATGACAGGAGATTTTCCCAGTGCAATTTTTCTTTTGATTTTCTGATTGCTAGTGTTAAGAGCTGAACAGAAGATTCCAAAAAGCAGCACGGAATG